GGTTCAAGAACTGTGCAGATGTGGCACTGAGGAACATGGTTAATGGACATGATGGCATGAGCTGATGGTTGGACTTGATGATCCTAGAGGTATTTTCCAACCTTTATGATTCTATGATTTTCCTGATGCATTTTTCAGCAGTTTGGGAAGTTTGTGAATACAAGATTGAATTGTGTCTATTATGCTTAGTAGTCTCAGCCATTTACATTTTTTTTAATTTCTTTTGCTAGCCTGTTTAGACTTACAACTAACACCATGCAACAATGAGTTCCACAACTTAATTTTGTAAGGGGAATTTTTTTTTTTTTAAAAAAAGCATTTCTTCATCATTTATTTTTACATCTGCTACATCCTTGCATTCTGAGAGTAAAGTTTGAGAGACAGACTCATCCCTGCTTTCTGCTTGAGTCCTTCTAGTGTCCTAGCCCAGAGCTGGATTAGTGCCAGTAGTGGATTAATGTGGGGAAGTGGGACATCACATGAATATTATCTTTGAATTGCCTCTGCCTGGTTTTGCCAGCTATCTGTCCAAACTCCGCAGCAATAGTCATTTGTTTAGGTTGAATGTGGTGCTCTGGTTCAGGCCTGTAACACTGATCCTTTCCGTAGATTCTATATTACTCCCTCGCCTCCAGCCAGTACATCCCAGCACAGAGCATGCATAAATCACATGATGCACTGAATTGTCAGTTTAGTAGTGTGAGAGCTTTCTCCTCCTGAGAGAGGCTTGTTCCAAAATGGCCAATGGCCTTGGGTTCAGGGGTTATACACCAGCAAGGCAACAGTCCTTGGGCCAAGCAACAGAGCAAGAACTTGGCCGACCATTCTACAAGTGCCTTGAATGCCAGCTACTGCTGCCCAAAAAGATCTTTTCTCTTAACTCAGAGTAGAGAACCTTTATCTGAAAGCTCATATTAAAAATAAATAATATAAAAAAATAAATCTACCTTTGCAACTACTTCCTCAACTCATGCAAGTGACAGATCCTAGGTCTGCCCTGCCATGATGAATCAACGGTCAGGCTCGCATAGGCGTTCTGAAAAGATGCTCCTGAAAATCTGCTAGTGAGGCAAGCTAAAAATGACTCCAATTCCTACAGGGAAAACATATGAACTAGGCTTTTCAGAGGCCTAACTGCTGTGAAGTATGCTAATTTCCACCATGCGTATCTTATTTTCAAGCTGTAATTCAGCCAATTTCAGTTAATAAACTGGATTATGCATTTGTTTACAGCACTCTTTCTAAAAGAGAAGTCACATTTATAATAATCACATACACATGGAAGTCATTTTCTTCATCTTATCAGTTGTTCATGCATTTAGAATATTCCCCTTATTCTAGTTTCTCTGAAGCAAGAATTCTTTTAGTTCAGAACACGATTCAAGAAAAATTAGTTAAGCAAGCTTATTTGCTAAGCAGCCCAGATGAAGTGAGAATTATTGTTGCTCTGTATCGGATCTATTCTGGGATTTCTACTAATGGAGAAAGCTGGTGTACTCTGGGCCTGCCCACAGGCCTGGCCACATGCCATAGGACTCTGGAGCTGTAGCTCAGGGACCCGCATCACCTTACTTTCCTTCCCTGTTCCAGTCTTTCCCAGGGTGAGTGTATGTGTCAGATTTTTGACAGATCTATTTGCTGCTGTCACCCAGTACAACCTTGCAAACAATCTTTTTTAAACACTGTTCTCTAGATTGCATCATTCCCATGCAAACTAAGCCAAATTAATGTATTTTTAAGTCCCTACTACAAAAGATTAAAAAGTGTGTACATAGGAGTTTAAAAGAGCAAGGACTTGCTGCCAGAGCTGATGGAGAACTTTACATCATAGTCAATTGTTTTTAACAGTTGCAAAACAGAATGTTCTTTTTTCCAGTTCATTTAAGTTTTATGATGAGCTTAGCCTAAAATATGATTGTATTACCAGAAGGAGGTAAATACTGATGGATTTTCTGTTAGAATATGTAATTTTTTTCATTGTTGTGCTTCAGCTTTCATGTGAAGAATCATTTTAATTGATTTAGCCTGTACCTAATTAATGTAAGTATTTATAATATGTGCTTAACCACTCAAAAAGGTTTCTTAATAATTGTCTCCTGTTGCTTCCCCGATTTTCAAACTGCTAGCAAGCAGAACAACACAAGATACATTTACTCCCCTTGAGAGGCACCTCACTTCACAGTGAGCTTCACTGACATCAGTGAATGTCCTTGTTATGTCTGGCAGCAGCTACCAAACTGAGATTTATCAGCCCAGTTTGATTCTAGCAGTTCCAGCAGGGTCACCAGCCTGACAGAAGCACAATTGCTCATGTAGTTTATATGGTCACAAATGGGATAAAACTGAGGAAAAATTGAGAAGGGCTGAGGATAAAAGCTAAGTAGCTGTGAACACAGATAGTTCAATCTGGCCTTTGTTTATAAATAGTGCTGTTGAATGCCACAGAACTACTGGAAATGTTTCTTCATGCAAAATAGAGAAGCAATCTTTTGCACTTGAAGATCATCACATCACAGTGGTCTGTGGGGACAGGACAGGAGGGAATGGCCATAAAATGGAAGTTCTGCACCAATCTGTGACAGAGCTTCTTCACAGTGAGGGTGACAGAGCACTGGAACAGGCTGCCCAGTGAGGTTGTGGAGTCTCCTTCTCAGGAGATGTTCAAGACCCGCTTGGATGCCTACCTGTGCAGGCTGCTGTAGGGAGCCTGCTTTGGCAAGGGGGTTGGACTTGATCTCTACAGGGGCCTTCCAACCCCTACAGTTCTGTGATCATCTGTGTTCGTACTTAAAACCATTAAGGTCACACCACAAAGAGTTCCAAATCTGTGTTTGCAGATACCATCTCAGTTTTGCTACAGAAATTGTTGCAATATCCTTTATGGACAAATGGAAAATGTTATGTCTTGTTTGTTTTCAGCTACAGTGTTTTAAGGGATTTTCCTTTAAAAGACTTAATCCTAAACATATTGTGTCCCCCCAAATTGTTCTACTTGTTCTGCTCTTTCAAAAGAACCATCTGTCAAGCATTTACTCATATGTTTGCTAAGTAATACAGTAAAAGCTCATTTTAAATGCAGAGCTAATCCTACAGCATTTCCTTCCATTTCAGCTAGTTTGTTGTTTCATCATTTTTATTAGTGCTTAAAAGGCCATAGTCACTTCTGTAATAGTAAAGGAATGGGAGTTAGTTAAGTTCTACATCTAAAAGTAATAAACTTGTCAGAATCTGTAGAGTCTGATAATAAACAGCAGTTTGTTTTGTGATGATAACTCCATCCTTATAGAAAGCTGCACTTCATAAAACTTGAATTGACTTGTTTCATATGCCTGATTACTGGGAATAAAGATGCCAGGCACCTAGGAGATTGGCTGTGGGAAGTGGTAAGAACATGTAAAGGTCAGAGCAAGCAAAGCTCTCTAGCTCTCAGCCAGAAAATGTAGTGGTCCTCTGTAAAGGCCATGTGTGGCTATTGAGGGAAAAGCTGACTGGATTATCTGAAGCAGTGAAGTCTGGTTCCTGTGAATAGCAATTTTAAAAGGACAAAATTGATCTTGGGCACTCAGCTCATAGGTTGGAGGACAAACAGTGGAAATATGAAATTCCAGCTTTTTCCTCCTTTGAGGTATTTCCCCAGCTTCAAGCTGCTCATGACATGAGTGCAGAGATTATCACCACTGTTGTTCATACTGTTTGTCGCTTACTTTTTGCTATTCCGGCAACAGAGAGCAGCCCTTAGCACTTAATGCTCTCACCTGGAGGGTTATACCAGCAAGGGACAGGCAGAATGCCTCTGTGAGCCTCTGTGTTGTGTAACTGCAGAGCCTACAGTGTAGGACACTTACATCTGCTTCTGTTATTCAGGTTCCGAATGCAAGGGTCCACCTACATGCTCAGCTAATCTGTGCCAGGACACAGGAGGATTCTTACCTAGTTGCAGATCATGAGAAATGGTCTGCCACATGTTCAGTGTGACCAGATAAAGAAGAAGGAGCTAGAAAGGGTGAGATGAAGAGTGTGGGCTTTGCTTTACACATTTTCCAAAGTGTGCACAACATATTAAGGGATTGTGGCAAGAGCTTCCAAAAGTTCATCTGAAACACTGACGACCCGGGCTATGAAGATCTGGCTGTACACAGAGTTGTCTTGACCTTGGTCAAGGCACGTGGAAAAAATTTCCAGCTTTCCATTTGATCAAATGACAGTCTCTGTATAAGTGTAGTGTTAGAAGGCTGTTTTATTACCTCTGGGCCCATCAGATTGTGAAATTATTACAGGTAGAGGGTTTTCTTGATTTTGTTTTTGTTCAGAAAAGAATAGTGAAGTCTAGCAGAAACTAAGTTTCTTATCTTCACACTTGCAGATGTCTGAACAGGCTGTGTTGTCTTTCTCAATCAATATATGGTTTCAAACTGACCTGGAGGGTTAAACGTGACTTTATACATACTCCCTTTGGAATTTCTAGTACAGAAATCAAAGATGGCTTTGGTTTCAAGAATGAAGAAGATAAAGATTAAATTTTAGTAGTCTTGCTTTTTTCTTTTTTCTTTTTTTTTCCAATTAATGAGGCTGTAGCTGGTTAACTACTGAGTTTCCAAACTCTGTCACTTTAAATTATGTCAGTACTGTAAGTGGGAGTTTCTAAAAAGTAAAAATTAGGAAACACCATAAGATCTTTAACTGCTGTATGAAGCTAGTTTTATAATGTAAATGCAGACAATCTAGAGAAGTGACAGGATTTGCTTTTAATATAGGTCTTGATGAAATAATTAGCACTAAAGAGAAGAAACTTTGAAGAGCAGAGTACTGATTTTCCATGAAATATTCATTTCTAGTAAGTCATTTAAATTAGAAGTGTCAAAAAAGGAAATTGTTCCAAGACTTCTCTCAAAGTCTGTCTAACATTTTGTTGGGAAAAAAGAGGGAAAGGGGAGAAGGAAGTGTTGTTTTGGTTTTGCTTTCTTTTTTAACTTAAAGCCTTCAGCTGCAGCTTGCCATGTTTGTATTTTTGATTAATCCCTTCACATTTCTCTTGGAAAATCCTATGAACCTGACCAAAACTCAGAAGGAAATGTTTGAAATTTATACCTAACTCCTTTCTCTCATTCCAGCAGTCTGTATTGTAAGATGTTAAGCAATGTAAATTAGCAAGACTGACCCAAGAGTTGGTTATCATTGTTCTGGAAGATTTGTTACCACATAAAGCACGAGAAATTCTTCTCAGTTGTGACTGGCTTTATAGAAATAAGATCTCAATTTAAAAAATAAAAAACAAAAAACTCATACTGTGGCAATGTTTGACAAAAATCCCTTTGTATCGTGTTGTAGCAAGCTGCCAGGCAATGTCATCCAAATGTCTGTTTGGTAGTGAAAAAGATTTTCAGAAAGACTTCTTACTAAAATGAGATATTCTATATATATGTGTATTTCTAAAGCATCTTGTCATTTTAAATTAGATTGCATACATTTAAATTTACTTTGAAAAGGAAAACAAGGTTCACACCATTTATAGTTTGGCTTCACTTCATATCACTAACTTTTTATCTCCCTTTTCAACCACCTTTCAGCACTCCACTATGCCACCAATTTTAGGCAGAACTGTTTAAAGTAAATGGGTCTAGGTTTATACCACAGAAACTAAAGGGCCCAGTGGTACAACTCAACTTAAGGACTTGCCCTCTGGAATCAGCTTTCCCATGTGAGCTGAGCTCACGAGCTCCATGCTCAGCACAGTGAGTGCTTTGCTCATCAGAAAGGAACAAGCCACAGGAACGGGTAGTCATTGTAACATGAGCAAATGGAAAACTACAGGGAAAAGAATGCCTTGTGTCCTTGACCTGTGCTTTCAGTTTATCAGCAATATGTTACCATCGGGAATTTTTACTTGTATTACAGAAACATGTAGGAGTTCCAGTATGCATCAGGACTTCATGCAGTACACAGACTCAAGAGACCTTTTCAGTTTGGGATGTGTTTGCTATGACCCATAGATGCTCAGAGAGTCCTCTGTCTGATTCTCGTGAAAAATCTGCACCAGAGCCAGAAGTCCTGTGTTTCTGGCTGCAGAGCACCACCACAGTGTACAATGAAGAACTTCGGCAGGACCACATTCAGCCCTGACACTGACCACATTTCCCTCCTTAATCCAGAGATTCCAGCTTTAGGACCATCCAAGAGGTTTCCATAACTGTTCATCAAGCATGCAAGAAGTAAAGATTAAGTACTTCAGACTCACTAAACACCATCTGGCTTCCTGGAGAATTTCCCACCAGATAAGAAAATATAGAACTTTTTGGAAATTTGTATTTTTGCTAGAAAATAAGTTCCCCTTTCTTATCTTCCTTGCAAACTCTTTCTTTGGATCACTGAGCAGCCTATGTCCTTATTTCCAACTATTAGCATTCATTTGGGGTTTTCTGCATCATGCAGATTGCCAGATTTTCTTACGTTCCTTTTCCTCTTTCATACACAGTGGCAGTAAAGGGAAATTGTTCCTTCCATAGCTGTCGCACTGCACACAGAGCCAGTCTGCCTCTCAGCAATGCCACTGAGTAGAACAGGCACAAAGGAGTGTTCTGGAGCATCACCTCTCATGGGCAGGACAAACAACTTCCAACAACTCTTCTAAAAGAAACTTGCTGCTCAAGGCCAATATGTTTGTAGTCACCCCTTTCTCTATGTCGCATGGAGAGCTGTTATAAGTATGACAAATTAAAAAAAAAAAAAAAAAAAGGCAGTGTTAATAAAAAAACTTGACAGAAATCATTATGACATTAATACTGCTACTTAAGAGATAAGAAAAGGGAGGGCAACTTTTCTAAATTAATTATTAAAGTTACAAAACTTTTATCATTGTGTTGATTTGGGGGTGCACCTTTTAGATACATTTAAAAGACACAGCTGTTTTTTTATGGCCAATAAATGATTACTGTCTTTGTGTCGTGTTGTGTTCAGTGGGACAGGCAGTTCTGGATGCTCAGCATACCTCTTGTGTGCAACAGATGCTGCAACATTTTGGTATGGAATTCACCAGGTCCCACTTTCTGGATCCACCATCCTCATAGCTCTGCAGCGCCGTGTACCTCCTGTGGGCAGAGTGAGCAGACAATTGTATTTTTCCTCTTGTGCACCTGTTTTGGATGTATTTACTTGTGCTCTATTTTGCATGTGCTAAACCCAGAGTCCTACAGAGCAAGGAAACTGAGTGGTTTGGCAGTGTGATGTGAAGGGCATTTTGCAACAAGGGAGTATAAAAGTACAGGTTTTAATGGTTATGACTAGAATTATAAAAACGTGGAACAAGAACTAAAACAACAAGTTTAATTGTTTTTATTATAACTAGCAATTTACTAAGAAGCAGTTTGCTCTTAATGAAACTACTGATATGAGTAAAATGGGCAGGAATTAGCTCGATAACTGTACAAGGCTGAAATCTCATCACGTTCTTTAGTTAGTTATTTATCCAGAACATTTTGTTTATTACTTTATTGTCCTTCACAAGTAACTCTCCTGATTATATAACTGTAATACCTGAATGTACAAATCTAAATAATTTAGTGGATGCTGCCCTCTGTAATCTGAATTTCACAAAGAGTCATAGGTACTTTTTCTAAAAAGGTTGTCAGAATCACCTTTCTCTTCTGCTGCTCTCTTAAATCACAGTCATTGTGTGCCACCCAGAGTTGGGACAGCAGAGCCAGAACACATGACAGGCTGCAGGGGAGCAAGAGTCACTGCAGTCCTCCTGTATCAAACAGCATCCCCTTCCATGTATGTCCAGAGATGAGTGACTCTAAAGGCAGCTCAACAGTAAATGACTCTTCCTGTGACAAAACAACATCCCCAAGGAATACAGAGATAAAACATGTGGCAGAAAACTGATATTTAATATGTTTCACAAGCTTACCTGTAAGCTTTTTTTTACTTATGACTCGCTTCCATACAGATTGCTTTCTCATCCTGTGAGGGACAAAGGGGAGGGAGGGATAAAGAATGGCAGCTTAAGTCCCAGCTTATCCCTCTGGCAACTTAAAAAGCCTTACCTCAGAACATTCAGTGCTAAGTTGTCCCTCTTCTACAGTTGCTTTTAATGGGTCTGACATTCCTTCTTCCCCTCCGTATGCGATAACGCACTGTATTTCCATGTACTCAACAGTATTTTTAGCACATATTGCAATTCCTTAGATAGGAAGCAAAGCCACAATGTTGTATCTCACTCCAGTGGTATCACTTCAGATTGCTGCCATGTGCTGGTAATTAAGTCATACATCCTTAATTATATCATATAGATACATACTAGGATGGCATTCTTTGCGCTAGAAACTTGCTGTGGCATATCATGTATCAAATTACATCGTGAGCAAAAAATACACGCTGTACTTTCTTTGGGCAATTCTCACAATATAAAACATATATGAGCATTCCCTTCCTGTGCAGCTAGGTGCCAGAAGTGGATTTGGACTCCAAATCCCAGGTCAAAGGGGTCCCTGTCTGAGTCTCCCCTGTGGGTCAGCCTTGGTGCCTTTCGTTGTAAAATACCTACACCAATGGGGTGGATGCCAACCTGGAATTGGTGCCTGAAGTACAGACACAGAAGGACTGCTGGGCCCAGGCATTGCTGCTAGTCCTTGCAGCATCGGGACATCTTTTCATGAATGTTCTACCACCCTTGTTTGGTTTTCCCTCATTGCAGCAGAACCACGCGACAGCAAAAGGCATACCTGCAGACACAAGGGAGGGCAAGTGGTGGAATGAGAGCTGGTAGCTGGAAGGCGGGAAGGGTGGACAGCTTCTTTCAACAGCAGAATTTTTCTACTATCTGGAAGCTTTTGCGGTATTACAGCCTCTGCTGACTATCACCAGAATGGATAACTTACAAAGAAAAGCCCCAGCTTATATTAGTCTCACTTGAAGACAGCTACAAAAGAAACTCTTAGGACATTGAAAGCTCCCACACTAGGAAAAAAAGTTAGGAAAAAAGTGCAATCCTTAATTTTTCATTTATCTTTTCAAAAGGAAAGGGTTTGTAAAGAAGAACCCCTTGTGGGCTTGGTTGGTTTTTTTGCTGTTGTTTTTGTTTGTTTGTTAGTTTGTTTTTAACTGCCAAGTGAATTTAACAGTTTGAAGTTCAGATTTGTACAACACTGAGGATTTAATTTTTAAAACAAATATGATTTGGATCAACCTCCAAACCTGTAGGGTTAAGAAAGCGAATCCCTGAGTTTTCTGTAAATAAGCTTTTGCAGAAATAGTTCACAGAGCACATAGTGATCAGAAAATGTTTGCTATTTCGCAAGGAGAGCAGGAGGAGAGAAGACCTCCTGACAGGGGTCCCATCAAATGATGGCATGAGCTGTGTGGCCTTCCTCACAGCATACTGGAGTATTTGTTTGAAAAGCAAGCTCCTGCTGATATGATTTCAAAAAGTGGCCATAAATTAGTTCTCATCCACAGCTGCCTGAAACCCAAATAAATTAACTCAGGTTCTTCATATTGCTTCATTCTGACAGGAGGGCCTAAAACATTTGCATGTCATGATTACCATAGGTGTGTTTTGCTAAATCTTGGCCACTAAGTGCTAGTGATGCAGTCTCATTGTCTGTTATTTTGACTTTGCTGAACATAATATGAGGTAATTACTGATGAATGCCTCTATAAAGAAGTATAGCCAATGAATGTTGAAATTCTGTCATTCTTCAGAGGAAAAAAAAAGATTGAGCAGTGGGTACACTACATTATGTATAAGCAAGTGTATAATCTTGTCTTTATTCATTTTTGAAGCTAGTTGAATTCCATGGAATGAAGAGATCTAATCTTAAAAAATATTTTTCTGTAACATTTTTGATAAATTCTTTTTGCTTTACAAACAGATGGAGTATTCCTCTCCAAAAGGGGTAGAATAAAGAAGACATTGGTCACAGTTATCTCTGGGAGGAGGCTCTTCCTTACCTAACTGGTAGCAGTAGGCTATGGTGCCGAGGATTTCATCAGTAATATGTCATTATTTGGAATGATGTTATGTCCACTTGAGGAGTTCTCCCTCTCTCTATCACTTCTGGTGAACCCATTAGGGTATTTCTATTTCACCCAAAATGAACGCTACTAATGAATGCTGCTAGGGAATTATGACTTCTTGTTCTTTGCTGATAAGAACTGTAATGTTGGAGAATGGGGGAGGGAGGGAGGTGATACAGTAAGCTTCTGCATTAGTTAAAAGTGACTAAAACATCTGCAACCAGTGCATAAATAAGCCATTCCACACATTTAAAAACTTCATTTACACTCTATTTTGGGAATAAACCAAGCATCTGTGCTGACAGCTTACATCCGAAGTTTCAGCTTGGTGAAAATTTGAGCGGTCCTAGATAAAAACTGTGAAATATCAGGAGTTTATAAACAGTACCTGATCCTAACTGACATTCCAAATAGATGGTAATTAAGCTGCAGTATTTATATAGTACACTACTTCATACACTGGAAAGACAGAAAGCAATCTCCTTCTTTAGAAGTACTGCACCAAGTATATGATTGGGTCACCTGAAAGGTTATTATAAATAGAACAACTTGGCTGAATACAAATGACATTATAACTTGGTGCTGCTGTCTTAGGAAGGAGTCTGTACTCTAGCTGTGATCTCCAGCAAATCAGATTCCTCTATACTCAGCATCAGCAAATTCTGTATTATCAGCTGAAAATATGGGAGACGGTGCTATATACACAGCCCCTCTACAGGCTTTGCAACACAGGGCAGATCTACTCCCATCTACTTATCTGCTTCTTCCACTGGGCAGAGGCTCATAGAAAGCTTTGCAAGACCCCTCCTCTGCTCATTTATTTTCCTAGAGAGGTCAGGGGGAGAGTGCAGGATGGAAGAGTGAGATGAGCTCCATCCATCACCCAGACTTAGGAAAGTGATGTTCTGGTACACTAGCATTGGCTAACAATGCTGTGAGATGAAGCCAGTCAAGGAAAAAAGCTCTCAGATTAATTTTTGGGAGACAGATTACAGTTTCAAGACTAGTAATGGTTTATATAGGGACGTGGCATAGCTGTTAGTTCCAATATCTCTTATTTATACATGAAAAGTGTGATGCCAGGATTCTCTACTGCTTTGCTGTGTGTCTTGGGGACTCCATTGAGTGAGGATTTATCGACCCAGTGGGGGTCTACAAGATTACATAGAGGTGAAAATCTTTGTGAAAAATGCAGGAAGATTTATTTTTGAAGGAGAATAAGTTCAGGAAAAACACAAAGGGGAAGCAGGGAAGTATTTCTTAAAAGAGTACTACTCAGAAAGAAGTCAGATACATCAGTCCTATTATCTAGACCAATGCTTGGTTTTTATAAATTTCTACCACTGGAGTGGAGTGGAAGAAAAACTGTTTCTTTAAGTTATTCAGTTGTGTTAGCATCATTCTTTTTGTTCCATGCTCATCAATGTTTACGTTGTTGTTGTTATTATTATTATTATTATTACTATTATTATTATTATGTTATTGTGCTTTAAGTTCAAAAAGGAGGTTTACTAGAATATAAACTGTTTAGGAAGAAAGAAGTTCTGGTTGCCTGAGGACACATCCTGAAGGGTGCTGTGAAGTACAGCCACAGGTGGGTTCACACATGGCTGCAGCTGAATGTGAGGAATGGAATTTAGGGAAAAACATCCTTGGGATGTACTCACTACAGGAAAAGCTCTTCCAGCATCCAGCAGGAGAAACTCCCCCTCTGCTTTGGGTTCCTGTAGATTTGTAACAACAAATGAAAAGGAGGGTTGGCCTGCCTTATAGAGCAGCTAGAAAAGAAAGGCAGGAAAGTAGTAGGTCCAAGAGCAAGAACAGTGCCTTTCAGTGGGTGGGGGCACTGCCCCTGCCCTCTGATTGCACTCTCTGTTGCAGCTGTCCGACCTTTCTCCCCCGTGCATTTCAAAACTTCTGTATGTTGACTCAGACTTCTCTCGTGTATAATAGTCACTGTCTTTTTAAGAAATAGGAAACAGAATGAGATCCATCACGTTTCGACATGACAAAGGGAATATCAGAGAGCGCATTAAAGGTAGAAATTGCTCAATAGCCTGCAGGCATCCAGCTCTTAATCCTGCCGACACTAACATATGAGATGATGGGCCAAGTGACATAGGCACGATTAGCTCCCAAGACACGCGAATTATCGCACACGTGATCTGATCCCAGACTTCCTATTTTCGAAGCGCAAACTCAGAACAGATCCGTGCAGAGCGGGGTGGCAGGGTGGGAAGCGCCGAACGGGCGCTGGAGGGAGCTGCCGCCACGGGCACTACGCCGGCTCCGCCAGCCGCGAGTGCAGAGGGAGGGAGCGCTGCAGGGCTGCTGGGTACGGCGTCTCTCGCTGTCGCTTCAGCTCAAGAACGTTCTTTCTTTTTAAAGCGAGACGTGTTAGTTTTCTACACCGATAAGTAAGCCAAAATCTGTGAAGCTGAGCTGAACAGAAATCTTAATTCTAATCAGTGTTGAATACTTTTTCCCATTAAACATGGCATACTTCTCTTTGTGTTTGAATAGAAACTAAAATCCTGCATCTAATGTCTGCTTCTATCCCATTAAAAAATAATAATAATAAAAATAAAAATTCCAGGTGAGGCACAACAAAGGTACAGTGTATCTCTGAGCCTCAGCTGTTTTACTTTGCAGCATCTGGGGGAAGATCATGCCACACTGCATCTCTCAGGAGATTAAAGTGAAGTTAGCCAAGACTGAATTTTTAACATTGAACACGGTGGTTAAAGTATATTCAGGACAAAAGCAATTCCCAACTAGTGCCATTTTTCTGGAAAGAAAAACTGGAAACGTTATTAAAATTGTATGGTTAGTAAGTTTGCTCTCTTCACTTGGTGTTTTTTTCTCTCATCATTTCTTCTGATGTTATCATTGGAGATATCCTCACTCTGAACATCACCCAAATATCCACAGTGTTTTTAAAAATAAAGACTGATTATTTTTTTCAACCCAAAGGTCTCATTCCCTGGCAAGGGATAAAT